TAGATAATTATTAAGATTTGTAAATAAAGATAAGTAGCGATTGTTGGTAATCTAAGTATTAGGCACTAAGTTTTGGATGTGATATAGAGCAGAATTTTTTTTTTTCAGTTTGCTCCACATTCAATTTCATTGAGAATTTATATGATGCTAATTGCTAATCAAAGTTTATTTATTTAATTTTACTATTTGCACTTTTGTGAAGTTAAAATTTTTTTATTGATAACTACAAAGAAATAAATCTTTTAGCTTATATCTATGTATTTTGCCTGTTTAGAATGTAAATTTTTGTTATTGTTAAAAAAAAAAAGGACTACTTAATTTTGCAATGCAAAACACATAAAAAATGACGAAAAAAGTGCCTGCTGAGTGTATGACTTTACATTAAATAGTCTAAAGTTAAAATAAACATATCAATATTTACGAATATAATGAGAAATTTCCTTAATAAATAATGCACAAAAAATTACTTGCAAATATTTTATAAAGTATTTTTTTATTAAGTAGCTCGAAAGATTTGAAATAACTATCTTCTTTTTATATTATATAGTAGTAAATGAAGAATCAATAAGAGTAGGGTTTAGATGAATAATTGGTAGGGCTGGTTTTAATGAGATGATATAAAAAAGCGTCTTAAATGATAAAAAAAAGAGTCTTGATGAAAAAAAAAATTATGCTAAAAGATTTAAGTTTTCCAATTTCACATTAAAAATTAAATCTTCTGAACTGAAAACTTAAAAAGCAAAATTGTTATCCTGTATAATACTAACTTAATTTATTCAATACTTGCCAAATATTAGACAAGACGTATTAAACAGAGTACAATTAGAGGTATCAGATGAATTTTTTATGAAATTAATGGTAATTTTTTTGTTAAAAACTATGAAATAAGGTTTTTGGTATCTGGCCAAAGATATTGTGAGTTTGATCTTTAATTACCTACTTATTTTTTAAATAATTATAAGGAATATTCTGGAATGTAATGAGTTGCGATTACAATTTTGCGCCATTGCTCCAGATTAAAAAATAAAACGAAATAATTTACTTTAGTTATCTTTTGTTTTAAGTTTAGTTATACTTTTTTTATCTTATTAAAAGTTTATTGGATTTTTTTCAAATATTTCTTGCAAATAATATGAAAAAGATAACTATTATACTTTATACAATGTTTGAATAGCAATATAATTATATTCTAATGATAGATATTTTAAAAAATAACACATTGATGTTTGTAAATAAACCTCCAAAAATCAGTTGCATTTCATAGAAATATTATGAATAAACATGTAAAAAGTAAAAATATGTACATTTTAATATAATTTCCTTATGAATAGAAGATAAATTATTAAAATTAATAACTATTATTATAACTATTATGATGAGCCACTAAAATTACATTGTTTGAAAAATCATTAGTTAATACAATTCGAGAAACAATTATTTTGTTGATGAAAGACCAATTAATTTTAAATACGAAATCATTAATTTAATTTAAAAGTAATATAATAGCAAAATCTATTTAATTTTACTTCAATGAATATAATGAATTAAAATTCCAAAGAGAAAATGCTGGCATATTGTATATTGTAATAAAAAATTTTGTAATCAATTTTAAAATATTTGTATTAGACTTTATTGAAATCTGTAACTTTATTAACAAAATGTCTTTAAAAAATCTATTGTTTCAATTCAGGCTATAACTATTATTGTTAAGGTAATAAATTAATGTAAGATACTTTTGTGCGATTTTCTATAAAGTCACAGTTTTATATTAAACCATTGTACAAGCCTTAGCCAAACTAACACTATTACACATTACTAAAAAATAAATGTTAACAGATTAAAGGTGAAAAAAATTACTGAGTATTCTTGGATAAAATTAGAGCTTTATTTAACAAATTTGTATTATTTAAGATGAGTTATTTAAAAATAAAACCTTCAAATTCTGCACAGATATAATTTCAGTAACCTGGCAAAGCCTTTTCATTTCTGTTAATTATATAAAATAATAAAGACTAAATTAAGATTAATAAATTCATTAATGCCTATTATATTGCCTTAATGCGTTTAAAGCCATTTAATTTTTTCAAGAATTGGTTAAATTGTTTCGAATCAATGATATTTTTTTAATGCTTATGTTTGAAAATGTCTAAATAGACTTGCGAACTTGGATGCAATTTACTGTAATAATAACAGCTGCATTGTTTGGAGCCATCTTAAGATGAATCCTGTTCCTGAAAAATTCTAAAAAAATTTCGATAAATCGTATATATGTTAGTACTAAATAGTAAGAGAAGATTAATTAATTAATTAATTGCTATTATATTGCATTCATGCATTTAATGTTGTATGATATTTATAAGAACACTGGTGTAAACTTAAATGGTTTCAATTCAGTTCTTTTTTTTCAATTCCTTCTATTATATTAGCTCACGCTCTATATATCTTGTTCAAATTTTCAATCGTTCATAAAATACTTTTTATTCATGCATTCAAGTTCAAACTTGCAGTGGATGACACTTGATGTTGATACAGTTTTTTTCAAATATTAATTCAGTAATTAAATTTAATTAAATAATTTTATTTTATTTATATTTAAGTTGCATATATCTACCAGTAGTTGGCGCCAGATAAACTTAAAAAAATGAATGAAAATTATTTACAAAGGACTGTCTGAAATATAGGGAAACAATGTAGGAATTGACTTACATTTTTTTTATATTACTTGTTAAGGCCGATGTTCAAAATGGATAAATAGGCTTGTGCACTTGGATGCAATATATTGCAATAATTACAACTACATTGTTAGGAGTAATTTAAGTATGAATCATGATCCTGAAAACTTCTAATAGAAATCTATAATATACGCTTTATATAGATTTCTATTAGGAGTTTTCATGTTAATACTACAGAATAGTAGATTATTAAATAATTAACTAGTTGCTATTATATTGCATTCCTGCATTTAATGTTATATGATATTTATGGGAACTCTGAAGAAATTTTATTGGTTAAATGGTTTCGATTCAATGCATTTGAAAATGATTGCTCATGAATATATGCTAATTAAAGTAGGCTTCTCACTTGGACGCATCATCTTGCAATAATTACAGCTACACGGTTAGGAGCAATTTTAAGATGAAACCTGATCCTGAAAAATTCTAAAAAAAATTTCGATAAATCGTATATATGTTAGTACTAAAGAGTAAGAGAAGATTAATTAATTATTTAATTGCTGTTATGCTGCATTCATGCATTTAATGCTGTATGATATTTATAGGACTCTGACGAAAAGTTATTGTCATCGACTCAATGCTTTTTTTAAAAATATTAATGCTTCAAAATGATTGTTTACAAATACATGCTGATTAAAATATGTTTGGGAACGTGGAGGCAATATCTCAATCACTGCTGCATTGTTTACAGCAGTTTTATAGTGAGTATACTCATGAAAAATACTAAAAATTAATAGGGAGTTCTTGAAGGAAACATTTGCCGAAAGGCAAACGTATATAATCCAAACAGCTTGATTGAAAAATAAATAAGTAAGAAAATAGCATAGATAAGAACTGATTATCCAGTCTAGCGGATTATTGACAAAAGTTCTAAACACTTACTTCGCAATAAATTAGAAAGCACTGTATCAAAATTCTAATATTTAAAAATTGCCTTTTTAATGAACATGGGCCTGATCATGTTTCATGTTTTGATCCGTTATCAAAATCTGAAAGTCTTTTCAAAATTAATTATCATACGATAGCTAACTTAAACTTGTTTCGTGATGAAGCGACCGTCTTTGCATGCTTGTTATAAAGGATTCTCATCTTTGATTACTATTATTTTTTTTTTTTGCTTCATAAAAATATTCATTGGAATGGAGCATGGAATATTATTTTAACGAATATGCTTATTTTTGGATTCTTTCATTTACAAAATGATTTTTTTTGTTTACAAACTTCCTTAAGAAGCTTTTCTTTTCAGAATTTTTTTTTGTTTACTGAATATGCAAAATATTTGTAAATCTTTTTCTTGTTTTTATTTTTCATATGCTTGGAAAATTTATTTAAATTAAAAAAAATGTAAGACAGAAAATAGCGATGTGACAATTGCCAGCAAACAAGAAATATAAAACAAAAATTTTTAAAGTCAAATCCTATTTAGGTCAACAAAGAAAAATTTTATTTTAATTACCTTTTATTAAATAATTACAATTAATACAAATTTTTCAATTTTGTTCCCTCCTTGACTCAAATTAGAATCCAGAATGAAAAAAGAATCTGAATTTTATTTTTCCAGCGATCTACACGCCTCGCCACAGACGGTATTCATTTCTAAATTTATATCCTGTTAAATATAAGAGAAATTTTGTTCTCCCATATAAAACTAAATTAATTAATTAAATTTAATTAATGAATTAATATTTGAAAAAAAAACTATATTAACATTAAGTGTCATCCACTACAAGTTAAAAAAATGTATTTGAACTTGAGTGGATGAATAAAAAGTATTTTATGAACGATTGAAAATTTTTATAAGATATATAAATATTATATAGAGAGAGTGTGAACTAATAGTAGGAATTGAAAAAGAAGTAATTCTATTCATATTCAAATAATTAAATGTTGTGCAGTTTTAAATTTCATTTAACATTTTTTTATTATTCTTTTATTATATTGCAATTCCTAATAGATAACGTTATTTTACAATAAAATCATGTTTAGGATTAAAAGATTAACTATATGAATTATAAATATATGTAACGCTAAATCTGATACACCTGTACTATTCTAATGGCGAATGACTTGCGTAGAAGTGCTCGGTATTCGAAATTAACATCAGCGTTAAAATAAACATTTCAAGGTGAATAAATAAATAAAAGAATTTCATTAATTATATTCATTTCATAATGTTAAAAAAAATGTTTCCTTTGATTAAGTTGTATATATTGGCAATAATATTGTTATTTTTATTTATATCATTTATTGTTTTTATTTTTTTATTTCCAGCGGCCATACCATGGTGAATATACCGGTTCTCGTTAGTCGGTTCTCGAAGTCAAGCATCATTGGGCACGGTCAGTACTTGGGTGGGTGACCACCTGGGAACACCGTGTGCCGTTGGCATTCACAAATTTGGAACCTGAATGGCTGAGTGTCTAGCGCTCTGGCACTCGGTGCCAAAGGTTTCGGGTTCGAATCCCGGCTGTGTCATGGATGTTTGTAGTGGTTCGGAATCCACTTTAAGCAGTAGGTCCCGGTCTCCTAAGACTGTAAGAGCGTCACGGAGTCAAAGTCAGACTTCTACTTACGGGTGCTCCATCACAACAGAAGCTGCTTCCTTCCCCTTCAATCATGAGTGCGTATGGGCTCGTGGGCTTGGCCAGCCAAGTGGGATAAGAAACAACAAGCAACATTGTTTTTATTTATTTTTTTGTTTTCGTTTTCGTTTATTGTTATTAATTAAATTTGTATAATCTATTGCATTTATATCATATTCTTGCTCTAGCGTAGTAAGTACAATGAGTCTAATATTGGATTCACTTGACATCATGCATTGCGGACATTGCTTTGAAAAACAAGTAGATTTAACAAGCATATTATTACATATGCGACAAAGTTATATAGGACTCCATTACGTCACAGTTTTCCGGGATGTCAATGCAATACGCCAATTACCGTTGAAAAGCGTTAATTTCCTATTCCATTGCAACGTGGTGGCCAAGTAGCTAACGCTCTAACGCTATCGTAATCTTCAGGTTCGAATCCTGGAGGTGGCATGGATATTTTATAAGTGGTAATCCATATTAAAATTGTAGGTCCCGGTTTGTTTAACCCTCGTGTGCAGAAAATGACCGTAGAGCGACTAACCTACCAAATCAAACCTATTCCATTTGGATAATTTAATTTAGCGAACTTTTATGCAATAAACTGGAAAAAATTGCTACAAAATCTACCATGTCAGCTTTATTCATCAATAACATTTTCCTAATTATTTCCTTGTTTATATTTCATTTTATTGTAATCATTATTACGGGAAAATCAACATAAGATGCAATATTAGAATATTCTGATGAAAGTTTAATGCATGTTTTTGAGTATAATGATTGCTAAATAAATTTGTCAGATATAAAATCAAATATATGGTTCCATTTCAAACGAAGAAGATTAAATATATATTTTTTATTTTGTTGGTTTTATGAAACATCTATAAATCTTCGTACAATATAACATCTACAGTCAAAAAGTCATGAATTCTTAAGATGATCATGCCTATTTAAAATATTACTACGAAACAGAAGATGAATATTGGAAAAGCGCATTTGTTTAATTAATTTTCAAGAAAAAAGACATTTTGGGGGTGAATGCTTTAGCAGACGTGAAATTAGAACTTTTTTCCACACGAAATAAAATGGTTTTTCTTTTGCTTATTTTTAGTGAAATAATGAACTCTAAAGAAAAAGATCAGGTTTATATTTATAAAATATTTTAAATTTCCATTTGAAAGTAAAAAAAAATTATCAATTTAAGCATCGAACGTTATCTATGTACAGGGCGATTATAAATTAACTTAATAGATATATGATTAACTAACTACCAAGTATAATAAGGTAGGAGCTCAAGAATCATATAAAAAACCATTGGTAAACTCTAAACGTTTCGGTTACAGTGATACGATTTCAAAAATTTCAAAAAGCAATACCTACTTTTTTTTTTGCAATGTGATCTCCACAGTGAGAAACCCTCAACAGCTTTGGAACGGTACCTGTAGTACGTGCCAAACAGACTTCGAAGCCTGTGCTGAAGCTAAAGCTGTGCTAGACAGGCAAAGACGAAAAGTGAAAACAACCGATAAAGACAGTGAAGCAGCAAAAAGCAAAACATTTTAACGAGTTTCACAAATTATCCGCGTGTCTTTCTTCACACACGACGACACTTTGCATGCTGCAGATGCTGTATGGCACTAAAGCGCGAACCATGTCAACAGGAATTTGATGAACCTTCCGTTTGATGGCATCTTTCAAATCCGATGCAGTTTGCTCATAAAATTCACTTTAAATTTCAAGTATATCGACAGCGAAATGTTCTATCTGTTGTCATGTGGATGCTAGAGGGCGCTCCCCCTTTTGTGAGGTCTTTTTTGAAACATTTAGTAACACAAAAGTGTGGTGACATAATTTCATCCAGCCATTTAAAGTTTAACAAAGTCCACCAATTGATTTCTGATTGTAAGGATATCTGAAATATTAAATGTAGGCATTTAATCCAAAAACTGCATCTGAATTTGAAAGAGGCCATCAGACGTCAAGTTCAACAGATTCCTCTTGTCACAATATGTCCTTTAGTGCTCTTCATCATCTGCTGGAATCAAAGTGTCATCGTGCGTGTAGGAGGTTACTCAGAAAATTTGTGAAACACATTAAACTATTTCGCTTTCTGCTGCTTCATTGTCTTTATCGGTTGTTTTCACTTTTTTTCTTAGTCTGTCTAGAGTAACTGTAAAGGGGCAACTCAGCTCTAGGCACAGTGATGTGGTGTGGTGTAGTAATAGTAGTAGTCGTCTGTATAGCGTCAGCGATTTTCGCTCTACAGGTACCGTTTTTTTTTCTTTCGGTAAATATGTAGTTGTTGACATTTTCGAAATCGTGTCAATGTGATCTTAAATGTTACAGTTTGACTGTTATCTTTCTTGCGATACTTCAGCGAATGCTTCAAAGATCTTAACCAAAAGTTAATTTAGTTTCTTTGAATGGTATGATAAGCTAAAAACTCGTATATTGAGATAGTATCTTTTTTTATATCCCCTTATATTGTTCCGCATTTTTTAAAAATTTAAAGCTATAACAGTTGGAAGGCCAATATGTTTCATACAGGTACTATACTACAGGTTATACAGGCCTACAGTTATCGTACCAACACTATTTATTGTTTCTCCTTACATAGATCCCATTCCAATAATAAAAATAGATGTTGCTATTTGAAATTTTTGAAAATGTTTCCTTGCAACAGAAACTGTTAGTATTGAACTGTTGTTTTCATACAAATATTGTTTAGACATTGCAATTGCGAAAATATTTTATGTAGTTTTAACTGGATAAACAGTAAACCACTATAACATCATGCCACTGGTATGACGATTTTAATTGTTGCCTAGCCTGTGATAACCCAAATGCCATCTACTTCCTTTAAATATTTTAACTGTACTCGATTGGTCAATGGTTAATATTTACTTTAAAAAAGTGTTTTTGATGTCGTAACTAAGAAAAAGATTCTTTTTTAATAAAAAAACATACGTCATTATATATTTATTATATATCAAGAGTATCCAGTTCTTTATTAGAATCTGATCGTAACTGAATCTGATTCTGAACCATAAAATTAATTAGAATGTATAGCATGGTTAGTATGACCTGTAGCTTGACAATAACTGGTGCTATACAAACTACGAAGAAAAGTTAAAACAAAAACTAAATGCAGAGAAAGCAAAACAGAAACAAAAAATATCAATGTATTTCAGAAATTTTCCATCTCCTTCCCATATAATAACACTTTGCATGGGCAGATGTGGTATAGCATTTAAGCACGCACCATGGCGAAGATGAATCTGTTGAACCTGACTTCTGATTTCTGATGACATCTTTTAAACCAGATGCAATTTGCAGATAAATGCATAAGCATGGAGTTCGGACATTCCTACAGGAAAGTGCATTATATGATATCGTATGCATTTAAAATGACTCTCTCCAATTTGTAAAGTTTTTTCAAGAGTTTTTTTAACACAACTGTGGGGCGATAGAATTATCTCCTGCCCTTTCATATTTCCGTGAACACCAAAGTCTCGATCTCAATCCAATGGATTTCTGTCTGTGGGAATACCTGAAATCTAAAGTGTCGATTAAGATTATTTATGTATTTAATTTGCGAATTACATTGAATTTCAAAGATGCCATCAGACGTCTTGTTCAACATATTCTTTTTGTCATGCTACATGCTTCAGTGCTGTCCACCAACATCATGCAAAGTATGTAAAGGAGGTCACGTGGAAAATTTGTTTAACACAATAAAATGCTTTCCTTTGTTGTTGCTTCTCTGCCCTTATTGGTTGTTCTCAATTACCTATATCAACAGTACACTGTTTATCTTTTATGTTTTGCATAAAAATGAATTATTGTGAACAGTTTTCAAATATTTCATAAAAAAAAACATTTATTGGAAGAAAACCCCAAAATTGAAACAAAATAAGCAAAGTGTTTGAATTACCTACATAACATTCGTCTAATGTCGTGAGCTACTAGTAGTTGAATAACTAAAATGTGCCATACACTTAAGACACACACACACAAAAAGAAAAAAAAAGGGAATTAGAATAATTACCTCAAGTGCAGCAGAGACATCTGGAGGGCGTGACATGCAAGCAGAAATCCTTCTCTCAAGTGATAGATTAAACGTTGAAAGCATTTAAGATTACAGTATACGTACCAGTGTTGAAATTCGAAAATTAATTTCAACGCTGAGATTAACAAAGCGAGAAATGTCGATGTGGATATCTATTACAGATTAACCAATGCGGGGAAAGTATTCGGAGTTGCATCAACATTGCCGTACAGGCTTTTATTTCCAGATAATAACATGAATGAGAAGAAAGTTCCAAAAAATTAAGGAGTATTTACAGTTGTAGAACATGTAGCTGATTTGATATGAAATCGTAACGAGATTCAACATACTTAAAACACGACATGGATAATTTATTGGCACGTTTCTGGTAGTACAATGGGACAGTTACAAGTATAAAAGTGAAGGGGACATATATGTAAACGTGATTATGGAGGTTCTTGAATTATTTACAGAAACTTGGGCCTAGCAGTAGGGAACAAATAGATAAATAAGGAATATTTTCAAAATGTAATAACAGTTGATGGCATTTAAGGTGATGAAATTGCCAAATAAAATTATTTTATAAACTACGTTTACAAATTTCTTAATTGCTTAGTTTGTCAATATAATAAGCATGCGTGCTGAAAATAAAACTGGTCTAGAATATTTGCTTTGCTGATACAGAAGATTTTGCTTTTTTTAGATTTTGGAGAAATACAAGGAACCATGAAATTGATAAGCTATAGCG